AGGGTTTTTTAATGTAAAAATAAGATTATTACTGTATATTTCTTTATCGGTATATATATATATGGAAACATTTGTATAAACAAAACCGAATGCCAACTATTTATGGAAAAATATGAAAATAAATCTATGTTTGTACACCCATGGACTCGGGAAGACTGAAAAGGGCCACTTGCGTGTGCGATAACTTCATTAAACTTACGAAGAATCGTAACGCTGCATGGTGTTAAATGGATTTTCCTAGCTACTGGACCGAACAATATCGGATTACTAATATAGGCTTAATCTACAGCGGTCAAAGAGGGAGGTCCGAAGTGTACCTGATCCTCCCGTATCACGTGACGAAACATCGTAGAAATTGGTGACTAACACCGTAAACACAGAAGAGAATTTTTCCCAGCTTACGCGTGCACTTGCCTGTACGAAATTATTAATAACTGCCGGAGCACGTGCATGAACCGGGAAGGGCGTACACCCTAGAACGCCAACGTCATACCACGTCATGTGCTTAGTTCGGCGGTTATTTGTAGTGATGTGATTAATATGAAAATAAAAACAGTAAAAAAAACAAAAAAAAAACATTTCCACTTTAAATTAAAATTAGATAATTATAATTATTCATAACCATGTTTAGAAAAAAAATATATATATAAAGTCAACTCCAAAATTCGTAAGCATGATGTCTATTTTCAGAAAATTGCAAAAAAAATGTTACTTGTACTGTTATAACATTTGCATTTTCGCTTTCTCTAAACATCAAAAATGCGAAAAACAATAACAGTTGTTATGGCGTTTACGTCTGTTACAGGCTGGCAAGAAGTGATTACAATTATTTTTGTCATAAGACATTAGTATTAGGCCTATTACATTTTTTAAACACAACATTCTTAATGTAGTTCTTTAGGGATTTTCAAGAATTAGAAGAGTATTATAATAGTAATACTATTTTTATACATACTTCTAATTTGTAGAGCTTTATAGAGAATACTGTTGTAATCCTTTCGTTCCTACAGACGTTAAGGCCTACGCTGTAATGTTCCAAAACAAAGTTTGTTTGTTGAATTTCGTAGAAAATTATTTGAGGGCTATTTGCGTTAATCGTCCCTAACTTTGAAATGGTAGACTAGAAGGTCGGCAGCTAGTCGGTATCACCCACCGCCAACTATTTGACAAATTTTATTGGACCGAATAATGAGATTTAACCGTCCTTCTGATCACGCAACACAGCCCCATAGTGCGAAGCGCGATTTTTTTTATTATATTTTTTTACGTGTGTGTGTGTTTGTTTGTTTGTTTGAAATTAAGCACAAAGATACACAATGTGCTGTCTGGGCTCTGCCCACCACGGGTATCGAAACCCGGATTCTAGCGTTGTAAGTCCGCAAACATGCCGCTGTGCCACTGGGGGGCGTGTGTGTGTGTGTAGGAGGGGAGTAACGGGGCGCAAACCATGGAACCTCAGTTCTACAATCCGGCACCGTAACCAACATATTAGACGATAGCTTTGATACAGGATGTGCTCTAAGAAGATACATTGCATTTCGGTTAGAATACAGTGACAGATTGTTCGTTGTTAGTGTGTTCCCTTGCTGAATAAAATATTATACGGCTTCCAATAATTTTAATAGCAATATTTTTTTTTTGTCTTTCCAGTTCTTGCGCGTCACAGAAAGACTCTATGTCGATAATCATACACAAATATTTCGTAAGGTGTCGTTGTTCTTGTTTTCAACTTCGAATTTCTATGCATCATAATAAATAAAATCTTTATTGAGACACGAACGAAAGCGAAAAGTCTTACAGCTGAAGAGATCGTAACAAAACTCGTGGTCTAACACTTAACGTAACGAGCTGCGGAACTGTCTGTCCAAGGCTCGTACTCAGATGCTATTGAACACACTGTGCAATTACAGCTGTAGGTGCATTATAAGAGTGACAATCAAACTCATTATTCTCTTCCATGCCAAATAAAGTCTTTGTAACAGTGGGTGCTGCTGGCTAGCTGCTTTACCTTTGATCACTTGAACTATACTTGAACCTGGCTAAGGTGATCATTACCCCCCACCCCCATAGGCTTGTATGACGTAGAATATCGGTTAAAATACATGTTAACTTAGAAATTATTTCAAAGAATATATTGATTTTCTGACAGTAACGGTTCCTTCAGCTCTATTTATGTTAACAATATATTGATTTTCTGACAGTAGCGGATCCTTCAGCTCTATTTTTGTTAACAATATATTGATTTTCTGACAGTAACGGTTCCTTCAGCTCTATTTATGTTAACAATATATTATTTACTGTCAAGATTATTCTATTTTCTGAAGAAAAGAAACTCGATCTATATCGCCCACCAATGGTACAGCAATAAGTCTGAAGGCTTATAACTGTTAAAACCGGGTCTCGATACTCGTGGCGGGCACAGCACAAATAGCCCATTGTGTTTCATAAAACAAAATATTTATTTATTTATAAATAAATAAAAATTCCTTATCTGATAAAGATATTGCATTTTCACTTTAAGGTAGCTCTTTTGTTTCTGTGTTTTTTACGATCCCTATTTCATGTTTTAAATTAACAATTTTTAATGATATTGTTTCTGATATCATTGCCACAATGTTATATTTAATAGTGGTGTTGTATGTATGATTGCAATAATGCAAAGTGATCAACATATCACATATTATGTATATACTTGTAAAACATATATAGTTACTATATTTATATCCTGTAGCTATATGAGGAATCTGTAAACACTGGATTGGAAGGAATAATGAACTATACTGGCATGGTGCATGGACTTAATTTTGTAACTGCATGAGTTTTATACATGCATTCACATGCAATGCATATTGGCTAGTATTTATATCTATATATAAACATGCATGCTTTATAGTTTTTTTAAGATGTAAGGCCGTATATATAGATAGTCATATGAAGTGTTCAAGTTGTATAAATGCATGCATATATATTCAATGTAAATATAAGTAAATGTGTCGTAATGTATCAGCATATGTATATATATATGAATAAGCATTTTAAATATCTCGTATAATTGTTATATTCCCCACTTCCTCTCCGCTGGCCAAAGTAAGGCTAGTCACGGTTTTGATGAAAATAGCCAGATTTCCATTTAGTGTGACATTCTTCACACTCTACAATGTTTAAAACGTGTTAATTAACAATTATGAGTTGCTTATATTAATATACCCCCCCCCCCCTTTAATTCTGATGGAGTTTGGGTCGTGACACTTCTACGCCCCTCGTCCAATGTGACGACCCTAAACTCTGGTGGCCCGTCGTTTCTGTATACTTTATCTGATACTAATTTTTTTTTTAAATAAAATACATAGCTACAAAATTTCTGCCTCACTTTCGCCTAGAAGCGACAACTCGTGTTTGCACGATTTTTTCCACTCCTTGTAGTCAGCTTCAAACGATGTCTACTCTATCTGCAGTATCTATAACATTCACAATCGGGTAATGTGGGCTATAATTCGACACTTAGGATCGAAAGTGAGCTTGATGCTACCTTTTAAACTATTGATTGAAGATATCTGTTGTGGGGGACCAGCTGATACGGATCATAATGATTTACTGTAGTAACTGACTATTTGATCACATTAATTCGAGATGTCAAAATTTAAGCTGCAGCTGAAGGTTGTCATGGAGATTTGTTTGAGAATATAGTGAGCATTTATAGTTTCTGTGTAACTAAATTCTCTCTATATACAATGCATGGAAATGGGCATATATACGCCTAGACTAAGGCACAACCCCCACTAAGCGTGTATAAAATTTTACCAGTAGAAAAGCAGCCTTTTTAAATATAACATATGCGTCTAAAACATCGCTTTAAATTAACCTTTGTGTCTTTTAAAGTAATTATTCTATAAATGTGTGTAATAAAATTTAATATTATGTGTATTCTTATTTTTTACTCCTTCATTTTATACATAACATAGAGGTTGGCTCCCTAAAGACACTGATTGTATAGTGTACAATCTACATGTTACAGTCATCTAATGTTCATCTATTATTGGCTGGCAATCCCTGTTTCACCCTGTACTTAAGCTTCTCAAAGGAACATCACATATTTCTAAGAAAATTAACTTTAAGGGGTAATGATAACGTCAATTACACTAGAAGTATAATATTTTTAGTTTATGAAATGCGCAATGATCCGTTTAGTAATATTGCCTAGGTTTGATTGTAACACTCGCGACGTTTTTGCTGTAGTGTAGGCTACCAGAAAAATCAATAAATAAAAATAACAATTGGCGATCCCTATTATGAACCACTACCGTGGTTTATGATAGAGGAAGTTTCGAGATTCCACAAAGGCTTAAACTTTCAAGATACATATCTGTACTTCACACAATCATTGCGCCTGGTGCAAATCCCTGTCGTCGAACATGTTCGTCCTATATAGTTGTCCTCTGGGCTAGCCACCTGAGTATAAGACTTCTTGGAATAAATCGTCTAAGAAGCTCCCTCTAGTGAACAAAACATTAAAACGTTTAAAATATAGCTTCCATCAGTATTTCTCAATCGATATTTGGTAAATTTGAATTAAAAAAGAAGTTGTTACTTTGCTTTTCATGTAGCTTTATGTTAGTTCAAGTGTTTAACCTTCAAATTATTGACTTATTTATATACCGTGCATTACTGGAAGAGGTACACACCATATTGAGCTATTTTATGTTGCTGTTTTTTTTGTGTTTTGTTTCTAGTAAAAAGTCAGTGTGCGGAGCTGACTAAAGAAATTGGGTGAGGTCACTTAACTTGTATGGAAACTACATTAGAGTTTCCAGTAATTATTAGTAGGATTACTTGCGATAATGATGATATTTTTGCTTACACTAAGAACCTTAGAACTAACAAAATCATAGACCCACATGCTTTTTGGTGTATTAAAAAAACGTGTTTAGAAGAATCATCAGTAATTTTAGGGTTAAGCTTGAATTAAATAGCAAATTGTTTATTGTCTTGTTTTTTCTCAGTGGAGTTGTCTTCGGCTCGAATTACTCTTATTTTAAGTGTCGTGTTCGTTGTGGTTTACATTCTAAGTTGGTGGTGGATGGCCTTCTCAATCAACCAGGCGAAAGAAGATGTAAGTATGATTTTTAAATAAACCTTTTAATATTTCTTTCGAAAAACTGTATTTTTCTTTTTTGCCATCAGTTGTTTGTTATTAAGCACAAGGCTAGGTAAAGGGCTATCTGTGCTCTGCCCACCACGGGTATCGAAACCCGGTTTCTAGTGGTATAAGTCCACAGACATTCCGCTGTGTGCCAATGGGGGGGGGGGGGCTTTTGCCATAAAAAAGTACATGTAGTAAAATAGGGAAACATACCAAATCTTTAACTGGTCATTTTCCGGTGTTACGATGTAGATTTTTCACAACTAAAATAGATAATACTAAAGTCACTGAACTTTACACACACACATAAACGGTTTACATTTTTGTAGTGCTGTATTTAAGTTGTTTGAGAAGCAAAAATTCGCAAGTTCACACACTTTCTTAACATTTGTAAATCGATCACTACTTGCGAGTTAGAACGAAGTCTGTTCAGCAAAGCAAAAAGTATGATTTGTTTTATTTTTCTGGTATGCTTTACAATGGTGAATCATTCAACTATGTACTTTTCACTGACATAAAATATTCTACCTCAGCTTGTTAACTAAAACTTTATCTGTAACTATAATCACAACGTTTATGGCTTGCACTAAAACAACTTTTGTTTCCTCCCCCCCCCCTCTGTAAAAAGGTACAAATGTTTCAAAGAGTGCTTCCCATTATTACAAGTTTCACAATAAGGTCATTAATCCTTGGTTGATCAATAATAGATTTGCTGCGGCCATTAAAAAAAATATCACACAACTTTAAGAGTATGTTCCTCAGTTTTTCTGTAACAAAGTATTTACAGTTTATTTGAACAATGGGCGATGTGAGGTTTTAATAATCATTGACTGAAACTACCAATTTTGTGCATAGCGCCACCTGGCAATGTATAGTTCACAAACATTGAAAAATACTTTCTTGGAATAAGTGAGCACGTAAAAAAGACATTCGTGTTCATCCAGAGAGCGAGCCAACAAGAAGAAGAAGAAGTACACATTACTTAATGATTTTACTATCATGAACCCTTTTTATCTGCTTGAGAGGGAAAGAGGAAGAAAAACACAATGTGTCGATCATGCGCATCTCAAGGTCCAAGCCGCGATATTGGTGGACATACTATAAGCGCGTTATAAAAGTGACGGTCAGTCCTGTTATTTAGTTCCAAAAAAACGAATTTTTTCCTCAATGATCTTAATCTCAGCTAGTTTGGAGGTCGGCCGATCTCTTTTGTAAACCAAGATATTTTTGACACTCAGCTGATTGGTCCAGTCGGTAGCCATAAAGAACGAGCATGTTCGGTGATGAGAATTCGAACTCTTGACCCTCAGATTGTTAGCCGAACGCTTTAGCCACCAGGCTATTACAGGCCCTTCACTCTGATTAATAGTTCAAAATTAAACTCAGCTATAGTCGATCCCTGGGGTATGCGACTTGGCTATTTATACCACGATTGCACAGGATGGAAGTACCAATACCGAGATAAAACACAGCACCGACTGGGGAGCCCCCAGTAGCACGGCGGTATGTCTGCGGACTTACAACACTAG